ATGCATTGATGGTAATCAGCTATGCAGATGTTGTGCTCTAGTTTTATAATAATTTTTGCACCACCTGAGGTCTGCCATTATCACGATGAAGTTCTCTGCTTATAAAAAACCCTTATACTTCACCAGAGAGATTGGAATGAAGATCTGACTGACCACCACAGATCGTTGGCTCTGTGCAACATTCCTGGGATAAGGTAGGTGATATGGGGAAGTGTTGAGATCCTCAAGAGGACAATGGAGGAGGACAAGTATTGTTCCTAGCACAGGAGTTCCTACAGAAGTATCAACAACTGCAACAGTTTGTTTTTGCCTAGATTTACACAGTACCTAATCTATCCCAGTAAATACAAATCCTATGCCAGACTAAACTCTTCAGGGCAGTGACTTTCTCTTTATTACATGTGTGTACAGCAAGCACAGTGGGAGCCCTCATCCCCAATTAGTGGGGATACTACAATTTCTACACTACACACAATATCCAGTTCTCCATTTCTAGGCAGCCTGGCAATGGTTTCACAGAATACTTTTTGTAAAGAACGCAGGAGTGTACTTCTGCTTTGTTCCTTGCATTCTCAGTGGAAAGGACATGCAGCCACCTACGTGACAGACCAGCAAGCTTGTGAGGGGTGTAGGTCTCTTCTCCCATTCTAACAGCCTGCACTAGACAGTCAAGACATTAATGTATCAGGACGGTGTGTGTTTGAAGTGCACAGGGAACATTGATGTTTTGGGTATTTAGTATCTGCTCTGTTCTCTGTGCATTTCCACAACACTGTTTAAACCTTGGTGGTGCAGTAAATCTAGGGACCCTAAAATGTTTGGTTCACTTCTGTGAAAACTGCAGATCCAGCTTGACTCCATAACAGTATCTTGCTAGAATGAGCATACAAGTTACAATTTCTGCTTAATACTTTTTGCTCCCCTTTTCTTCTGATACAACAGTTTTATTTTGGGGATTAAAACCAGGATTAGCAGAATAATTATCAGCTACTCTCAGAGTACAAACCCTGTGGGAAATTGGACTGGGGGAGGTGTTTGGGCAAGTCAGTGGAGTGAGACAAAAACAGGTTGAGTATTTTCAGCCTCCTTTATTTACACAATATTCAGTTGTGATTTGTCTGGATGCATCTAGAAATACTGAGCTGGGTGCTCAGCCTGTGTAAATCAGTGTGGTTTCAGTGCAATCAATGTAACTGTATTACGTCCACACACTAAGGACTGGCCTGACTATGTTATTGCATAGTTCAGTGCCTCCAACCTAAGGCTCATACACATGTTGCCAGTGACAACTTCTCAAGCTCACAGCCACAGGAGATTAACAAATTAAAACAGAGGTTGCAGGTAGAGCAAAGTATGATGTTGCCTGCATGATGTTACTTGTTCAGTATTATTGATCATCCCCAAAGTATCCGGGTATTTTCCAGAAGTGCATTAAGTGACTTGACTGAGTGCATTGGTTCCCTGGGGACAAGTAGTGGTGATGTACCTTGTGCTGCTGCTACTTGTCCCCGGGCAACGCCCATGTCATGCATGCTTTGGCGTGTGACAAGTTGCCACGGGTTGGGTAGGAGAAGTTGGGGCCAGCATTGTGCTGGTCCACAAGCCTTACCTGGGGCTTTGGGGGCCTCCTGGGGCTGCAACCGCAGTGATTCTGCTGCACAGAGCCTGGCTGGCAGCAGAGCGCGGCTCCGCTTTTCAGCAGCGCGTGCTGCCGAGCGTGCATTGCTCCATTTCTTTTCCCTGCAGTTTCTGCACCCACGGAAAAAAACACCTGGTGCAGTGAACACTTGGGCAGCGTGCCCCTGCATTGCGGAGAACACCAGACTGTGCAGTATGTGGTGCTGTGCGCCATATACCGCACAATCGTGCTCGTCTGGATGCATCCTGTGGGGACAGCACTTTCAGTGTACCTAATTCTTTGCTAGCTCTGCAAACATTCAGAGTCTAGGGCAGTTACTAATATCCCCATTTTAGGCACAAGTAAATTTTAGGCACAGACATTGTGGCTTGACAAAACAAACAGATGACCTTTTTCATTGAGGAATCAGGTACGGTGCAGACAGCCCATATGTTTAATATATATACACGTTTCCTGCCAAGCACAGTGTTCTCTAGTGTATGAGATGAATGCAGTGTTACCAATTCAGGATTTTATCATGAGTCTTGCGATATGTGGTTTATTTCTAAAGGACAAGCTCCCAAATTCCTGAGAGATGAACAGGGGTCTTCTCCCCACTGCAGCACGAACAGGATTCTGCACAGCTTGGCCCCCTTGTATAGTATAATCACTAGAGTGCCTGTATGCCTTCCAGAGAACTGGGAGCCTGCAGCCAAACTATGGGTATGTCTGTTTAGGTTACTATATGGCTCCCCTTCTTGTAGTACATGATCACTGCCTAAGCTAAAAGAGCTGCTGGTCTTGGATTCAAGTACACGGAGAGGGCAGGTGGCTCTGACTGGCCTCAGCCCTGACCCAGACTTTGGGTCAGAGTTAGAGCTGCAGCTGCTGCCTCCTCACTACCTGCTCCCCACAGCCTCTGCTCCTTTTGCCTACCCTGTCTCCTCTTGGCTTACCGTCTGGCTCAGGACTGGGGCATGGAGCATACGGTTGCTCCAGCCTCTATCTGGCCACACAGCAATGGTGATGGTGGTGGCAGCCCTGGGGCTGCATCTGCCACAACTGCAACCACTACTGCATGACCAGGCAGGGACTGAGTGCCTATGTGCTCCATGCCCCAGGCCAAAGCAGAGCAGGGGTCAAGCTGTGACAGAGTTAGTTGGGGGGGAAGGGGGCAGGCAGCAGGGAGAGCAGTTGCGTGGGAGGGCAGGCATTGTGGGGGGAGATAGGAAAGGGGACCATGGGGGGGCAGGTACCAGGGGCCACAGGCATGTGGGGGGCAGGTACCAGGGGCCACAGGCATGGAGGGGACAAGTGGTGGGGGTGACAGGTAGCAGATGGCAGGGGGAGCAAGTGGAGGCAGAGATTTCATAGACATTAGGGCTGGAAGGGACCTTGGAACATCAGCGAGTCCAGCCCCCTTCCCCAAGGGCAAAGTCAGCTAGGGTCAAAGGATCCCAGCAAGATAAAGGTCCAATTGACTCTTAAAGGAGTCCAGAGTAGGCGCTTGTACCCCCTCTGGAGGCAGTCTATTCCAGGGCTTGGGGGCTCAGACAGTAAAGAAGGTTTTCCCTATGTCCAGCCTAAAACGGTCTTGGAGGAGTTTATGATCATTTGACCTTGTCATCCCTTGGGGTGCTCTGGTGAACAGGCATTCCCCCAGATCCTGATGTACACCCCTTATATACTTATATACTCTAGAGGGAACAGGCACCACAGGGGGTGGTGGCAGGCACCAGGGATGCAGGCATGAGGGGGCAGTGAGGGGAGAAAGGTGCAGGGGAGGCATAGGCACCACAGGGGTGAAAGTGGTGGGGGGTAGTTGCCAGGGGTACACAGGCAGTGGGAAGGGGCAGACAGCAAAAGGCAGGGGTCAGGCCACTTGACTCCCCCATCACCTGCTCCCCTGCCACTACTTGCCCCACTGCAGTGGTGGGGGGACACAATTAAGATGACCATGACCCACCACTAACTAGATTATATACATGGAAAATTATAACAAATTTATACATTTTCTTTGTGTGGAATCTATTTATTGGAGGGTCATCTCAAATCTGAAGACCTCTTGTACTAACCAGTCAGTACAGCAAAGAACCAGAGCAAAACAGTTAATAGTTAATATCAGTTAATATCAAAATAGTAAGGTCAAATCCCAAATGGGCAGTGGACTCTGTTGCCACTACCTAGTGCCTTGCGAAGGAACCATGGGGTCATAGGTGTAGAGCTATGGTGGCATAAGGGGGACAGACAGAAGTTATATTTGTCACACAATCAGTCCCCTGAAAGTGCTCCACAGCTGTGCCACATGTGCACAACAGCAGAGTGATTTTAAAGTGGCTGATTGTGCTACAAACTAATCCTCATCAAATGTGGAATCAGATGAAGGCGCTCCATTTTGAAGCACCTTAGGGAACTCGTATTCTCTACAGTTAATCTGTTGTGCAAACAGGGCTGGGCCCACCCCTGGGACTGTCTGCAGGAAGGGAGAGGGGAGGGGAAGCAAGCTAGTGGCTGGGGTTTGCCCAGCCCCTCCACCCCCCAGTTTCCTCTCCTTGAGCTCAGGCTGGACAAACCCCAGCCAGCGGCTCATTCCCCCTCCCCCTTCCCTTCCTGCAGACAGCTCCAGACATGGGGGGGGTGGGGGGGTAGAGGGGGGCTGGAGAAGAGGGGGCAGTTGCTTGGCTGCAGATAGGCTCCTTGGGCTCCTGCAGGCAGGCTGGATCCCCACCTCCACCAACCCAACAGGCAAACAACTGTTGGGGGTGGGGAGGGGTGCTCTAACTAGTGGCACTTTATGTAAAGTGCCATGAGTTACAGCAGGGGCCTGCACATATGTCAGTGCCCACAGTTTCCCTCTGTTCTCCTAGCCTTCTCCCCTGTGCCTTGATTTTTTCCAAGCAACAGATACTGTGTTGGAAGTGCCTTTCCAACACCACCCCTTTGAGGTGCAGATCAGTCTAGCTAGTTGGTAACTAGCAGAAACCAATGCTTTATGTCAGAGCTCTGAGAAAAAAATGAATGTAGAAATACTAAATTCCTGGATAGTCTTGGTCTAGGGCAGGTGTCCAAGTAACCAGGTCCTGTGATTTATTCAACAGCGTGGGGCACTATTTCCTGTGAGAAAGTACACCACAAAGAGGAGTTTATACTGTACCCAAGGAAATGGCTTCCACTGGATTGAGGGGAGTAGAGAGGACTTCTGTGGAAGGCTTAAATCCAATCTTAGGCAAAGAGAAAAAAAGCTGGATTTTTAAAATATATTAATACATATTAGAAAAAATAACAGCGGGAAAAGTGCTGAACAAACTCTTGTACACTTAGAGGAGAAAAAAGACCCTAATCCTGAGGGACTGAGCACCCATAGATGACTACACAATTAATGCACGTTTTAGATATACAATATATTTCAGGATATCAGCAATTGTTGGTGTGTTCACACTTTACCTGGGGTCCCTTTCAGAAATTCAGTTCCAGTGAAACTTCCAGGACCAGAGTTCAGAGTTTTGTAGTAAATAGTTTCAGTAGACAGTAGAAATAGTACATATTTGCATGTAGAGACTAAAATGATCCTGAAGTTTCTTGCACCAATCCAGCTGAGCTCTTGTGACTGGTTAAGTACGAGCAATCCTCCATTTTTCTTCAGGTTTAGCCAGGCTTCTTCCTTTAGTGAGTTAATGCAGACACAACTCTGGCCATGAAGAGGACTTTGTATGTTTCTTTAATGTCTCCTTTTAAGGTTAATGTAGCTGTTGCTGTCAAAGGATGAGCCGGCTACAAAAAAAATGCACCAAGCATGTGAGATGGCCTTTCTTGGACATCTAGAGCAGAATGACTGCACAGGTTTGTCTAAATGACACCTAAATGATTTAAATGATCACATGTGCTAGTTATGGTTATGGGTGATCATAGTGCCAACCTCTGCAGGTTCCTCCAATTCTGAATACCACTGGTTCACACTAACTTTGGTCTTTACTGTGCTAACCCTTCTGTGACAATGTAAAGCAGGGATAACTGGTTGTTTTTTAGTGTGACACAGGTAGCATTATCAGGTTTCAACCATGATATACTGTACAACTAGCTGGGTGCGGCAATGACATGGTATGTGGAAGTGTGGATTTGGGAAGGAAACGGTCCTTTACCCCTGTGTTGGTGGTGGCTATTGTGTAACAGGCCAGCTCTGGTCACCAAAAGGCACTGAGTCAATTCATCTCTAAAACCATGATCTCTATTGCCTCCTGCACAGAATGACACATCAGGTTAATTCTGGATTATGCCAGTCACCCTGCCATTCCACACAGACCTCGCTGCAGGGAGACCAAGGAGGATCAGAATACAGAGGTGAGTCAGGGGCAATCCAAGTGCCCCAGGATGTTCTGAACATACATCGGGGCTCTGCTATACTCACCATGAGGTACGTCATAAAATGAAAAATCAAATGAACAGAGAACAACAATGGAGACAAGAGCATTAAAAAGAAAGGGGTCCATAGGTGACAGCCTGGGTGTTGTGGCTCTTCAATCTGGCTCTGCTACTATATGGTTGGGAGCAGCATTGAAAAACTAGTGTGAAGTGGTTTATTAAAAGTACTTACCCTCTTGGCAGTGTGAGTGGAGCAGCAGCTTTCATCTATTAATAATAAACTTTTAGATGATAGATACAAAGATTTCAGCATCCCATAAAAACTAAGGGACAAATGATTGTGCCCTTTCTCTCATCTCAAAAATGGATGAACTGAGGCAGAGGTTAGGTAACAAGCTCCCAAGGTCATGGTCCCTGGCATCTGTTCCCATGTCGGTGTCCAAGCCTACCTACAAACCTACTCTCATCCATCTAATAATTCACCTCTAAAACTGGAAGCCATGTACATTCATAAAAATAAAACTGTAGTTCACTGTTTATTGTCCTAAATTCTGTCATAACTAAACTGCACTGCTGCCCTCCAAGATGTGCTCCTGTGCTGACACTCAAAGCAAGTGTGAACAGACTGTGATTAATTATTCAATTAATTATTATTTTCTCAGCAATATCCTTTGGAAACTGTAACTTACATCAAAGTCAGTAGGTGGCACCCAAGAAACACTAATGCATTTTGTCTGCCCATGATCAACTGTTCCTTTTATAGGCTCAACAGTAAATCCCTTCTGCTGCAGGAGTGCCAGGCCATCCAGACTGAACTCTACATTCTGCAGAAACAACAGGAAAAGTTAGTTATTGAGAGCAGACAGTTAGAGCCAACTCAGCTTCTGGCTATGAAACCTCTGCTCAAAGGCTGCATCACCCCAGTGCTACAGAACTCTGCTTCCCAGTTGCCAAATCTCTTGTGTTTTTGCTTTTTGAAAAGTAGCAGCTCATTTCATATGGTCAGTTGCCATGAAATAACTATGGCTAAGAGGAGACAGCCTAAAGATGTTTAAATGTCATTTGCTAGGAGTACAGTCTGTTCCATTAAACAACCCAACCTCCAATAGCTGTGGCTTAGCATGAACTAATATTTGCTTTTGAATATGAACGTAACTGTCATCCACAGCTCTTTGTTACTAGCATGAGTGCTACTAATTTGTAGGCCTGTGCAAAGCGGCTAGCATTCGCTTCGGATTTGGCCAGTTCGGGGGACAGTGATTCGATTCAGTGATTCAGATCGCTGTCCTGAATTGATTCAGTCAAATCTGATTCGGAGATTTGGCTGCTGCTGAATCTCCGAATCATGCAGGCCCATCCCCTGCCCCTCTCCCAGCCCGGCAA